GAGTAGTTGGCTAACTAATTCAAAAACTACTATCCATCATGTCGATGAGATACTTGGTCTTAAGAGACTTTGAGATTCTACTTGGGCTGGTCACGATTCTTTCATCCTTTCTTTCTTATTGGCAATCACCATACGCCTTGATCTCTTATTTGACGTCCCATGACGAGTTAACTAAATCGCGTCCTAGCCTATTCTTAAACAATCGTACCCTGGCTACCATCCCTTCGTGCCGTGCCCTCATAGTTATTCACCTTAATATGACTAGAATAGACTGGAGATTCTATAAACTCTTAAAAGAAGATCTTTGACTCGTTTTCCTTTCCTTTAATACAAAAGAATTTAAAACTGAGACCGATATTCCAGTATTCCTTGGAGACCAAGGAACAGAGGAAAACCGGCTCTGATACCAAAATGAAACACCCTAACCCGGCCGGGTACTAATTTTACTAAAATGCCCTTGATAAATAAAATACTCAAATCTTAAATTGCAGTAGGAAAAATTTTCATAAATAAAATACTGAAAACACACACTTGTAGTTCAAAGCAAAGCCCTAACACGTGGGCAAATTAAGCTCAAACTTTAAAATCTCAAATTGATCTCCAGTCTATACTCATAATCATACAATATAAATAACTAGGTAGTCTAGGTCGTTGTTGCTACTGAAAATCTTAACTAGGCATCCTCCGTGACGCTTGCATTGCCATCCTCTAGTTGGCTGCCCTCGAACTTGCTGCTCACTAACTACTCCTCTAGCTCCTTCTCTAGCTCGTCAAACTGGTGTGTGAGAGGGGGTCAGTCTACGCCCTTACGTTTTAATACTTCTAATACTCGAGTACTTTACTAAAAAAACTTAACTGTAACTAAAGGAAGTTGTATGTACTTCCAATCTTAAAATCTTAACTCTTAAACTTTGAGGGAGTTGAAGTTACTCTCCTCTCTTAAAACTCAAATCTTGACTTAAAAGCTTGACTTACACGGGGATCCCTCACTAGCTAGTCCGGTTGCCAACTCATACGTATGAGAAGCCATCAAGGCTTTCCTTAAACGTAAACTTAGTTAGGGAAGTCGTAACGATTCATCCCCTAACATCTTAAACTTATCGTGGTGGCTCTTCACTACGATTCTCAAGAGCATAACTGTTGCTCTGTCTCAAAGATCTCAAGAGCATCACTGCTGCTCTGTCTGAAAATCACAAATGGCAACGGACTGGCTCTAGTGACTAAAAACACTTAAAACGACTTCACCTTCTTGAAGGCGAATTACTTCTTAAAAAGAACTTGCTCCTTACTCTTTAATAATAACTCCTAAATGTAAAGCTTTAAAGTAAATAACAACTCATACATATTCACTCCAAACATAGCTCAAACAAAGCACAATCAAGCAATAACAATCACATCATCAAATACTTAAAGCTCGTCAAACTTAAAAGAGTACGTAAGGCGTAGAATTTACCCCCTTTACACTCACCTCTAATCCGTCGAAACTAACTCTGAATCTGCTTTAAAATTTCCATACTTGCTCCAATTAAAATCTCCTCGTTCTCACGAATTCATAGGCGCTGACGATTCCTTGTTCGGACGTCAATTGATCGAGTTATGACCAAAATAAATATTCTATCAGCTTAAAAGTTCCAGGTACCAAAATTGCAATTTTTCCAGTCAACATAGTTGACTCGGACTTCTGAGGAAAATTGCAATTGTGGTCCCTAAACTTTTCGAATTGTCACAAATAGTAACCGAATTTGTCCGACTTTCACTCCAACCTTTCGATGCTCGTTTCTCCCTCGTCCGATGTCGAAACTCAATTTCGTCAAGACCGTGATGCTCCTGGGATCGTCCTCTTTGCGATGATAACCACCATTTAAAGAAAATTGGAAGTCGCCTAACTGCTCGTCTTCTCATCATGTAAGTCCTCCTTAGTCGGCAGTGGAGGAGGCTCCACTTTCTTGTCATCGTTAGAAGATAGAGCCTCAAGCTTAGCAGCATCTTCAGCCCATTCCTTCTTCAGGTGAGCAAGGTAATCCTCTTTGGCCTTCTCCAGCCGCAGCTTGCCACCCTTCCACGCACAACCATCGATTCATCACTCGGATACATAAGCACCAACCCTGCAGGAACCTTCAGTTCGAACTCTAGGTACTCTTCCACATTCCCCTTGCTGCCACAGAGCTTCTTACGCTTGTTAAACTTCCTAACCATTAACCCTTCTCTCATTGCAACTTCAGTGGCTGGTGAAGCCACAATCTCACGGAACCTCGCTACTTTCTCCCCCATCCATTGACAATACATCCATCCATCTCTATAATTGATCCATCCATCCACTTTATAATAAATCTGCCTCGACTCCTCATCAACCTCGGACATCTTCCTGCCAATGAACCTCTTAACGGAGAAGAAAGTGTTCTCCGGGTTCACGACGGTCTGACGTTTGGCTATCTGCCCAACCAACCTGCCTCCGTTTTGGAAGCATCGCCCAAATTCTGGCCCAAAAATAGAGTCTTTGGGGCGAAGGAGAAACTGGTCTTCTCGCCGAGGTCGGCGAGGACTCAACAAACCCCATCCCGCCGAGACTTTGTGCTGTTGAAGAAGCCATTTTTTTATCACCTTGAACCAATCAACCGGAGCTTTCAGCCTTACCTAATTGTTTTGTGAAATTCAGATGGAGAAGAAGATAAGCGAAGTGTCTCGGTTGCCGCTAGGGGAAAAGGAAGAATGGAGTAACGGGGATTTCTTTTCTCTTCGGTTGCTAAGGTTTGGTAGAATAATAATGGCAATGATAATAGTAATAATTATTATTATTATTATTAGTTTTATTATTATTATTATTATTAATTTACTCCAGGGTTGAACCCTTCGTACGTAACCATCGATCCAATCATTCGGTCGAACCTAATTCAAAATTCGGGGTGTTACAGTGACTCCCACAACGTGGATCTCAAGGCGGTCTGATTCGCGCCTAATTGTACACTTTTCATCCCCACACCTCTTTGACGTTTGTGGAAATTGAGCTCCAAAAGGGGTGGTTTTACGCTAGGTTTCTTGTGTTTCAAATTCTAACAGGTTAAACCAACCCCGGAGTCGAAATTTGGAAGAAAAGGAGCAAAGACCGGGCAAAGAGGAGGAATCAGCCTATGTTCACGATCTACCATTGGAGTTCACGGTCTCCAAGATCGTGAACTGGAACCACGACCCGTGAACCAAGAAGCATCCAGAGGGGTTACTGAGGTTACTGATGCCAAGGTTGTTCATGCCCGCCAAGACCGTGAACTGCAACCACAAACCGTGAACCCAAAAATTGAAGCGGTGCATTTTGGTTCAGCACATTCTGTTCACGGATGCGTTTTGATGTTCACGACCGTGAACTGGGCACGATCTCAGTATAAAGCGCAAGCTGACAGGAAGAAGAGGAGGGGAGAGATCTAGTGTGAGAAACTTCTTCTTCTTCTTCATACTTCTAGAGTGAGAAAGTGACGAACCAAAGGAGAGGAGAAGTTAGGGTTTCATCTCCAAGCAATGAATTGATAATTCCTCCTCCAAAGGAGGATCTCTTCAACACAAGGAGCAAGGCTAGCATCTTTTTGATGGTTTCTCTTTCCTCTCTTTTGTTTTCCCTTCTATCACTTGGGTGTTTGTAAACTCTAGCTACAATTATGTGAATGCTTGTATGAATTGAATAATTTGTGTGTGATTGTGTTTAATGTGGATGTGGAGGTATTATTCATGAATGATTGTGTTGTGTGAAAGCCTGTCAATCTAATTGCCATTCTAACCTAGGTAGAGAGAAAACCCCCTTCCTTTCTTTGAAAGAGGCTTCAATGCTGGGTTTTCTTGGCCAATTCATTGTCTCCTAGTTAGGTTAATGCAAGGCAAACCTTATATTTCATATTAGCACCTAGGTTTTGGTTGTGGGTGGCCATCCGAACTCCGATTCGAGGGTGAAGTCTAACAAATCCTTAGTCAATAGGTTGAGAGAGTCGCATTAGTGGCTTGGATCGTATCTTGTTCCTCACCCTGGAAACTAAGAGGGTAGCTTTGGCTACTTGTTAGAATTCTCCGTGGTTTACAACCCCCCCCCCCCCACCCCACCACAGATGGTCATTCGATCCTTCAAGTCGTAATTGTTACCTAGGGGAAGCAACACCCGGGTGAAGCCTTCTCAATTAGTGTCAAAACAATTTCATCTTTGCAAGTACTTTAGCTTTTAATCTTTGTTTTCACCAAAACTATCCGCTAGATAATGTTTAAAACAATCGAAGTAGCAGTACATGGGTAGGGTCTGGGTTGATATTTAAACATACTTGCCCTATATTTCACCCATCTAAGGTTTATACTTGGGCCTTAGGTGGGATTTTATTGTGATAGTCAGAGCGAGTCAAGTTTTTGTTGCCGTTGCCGGGGAGCTTCGGGGTTATTGTGAAAAGATTGTTTGGTGTAATCTAGCTTTTATTTTCATTTTAAGTGTGAAGTGTTGCTTGTTCTAGACGTGTTGTGTTCACCAAGTGTGTGTAGGGAGGTGCACGACCCGAAGCAATCCGGCGCCTTTAACACCACTGGACGAGGACATCAATTGGACTCTCTTACTCTTAGCTCGAGAGAGGGAGCTAGCGGAGGCAAGAAGGATAAGTGAAGAAAGGGGACAACAAGTTGGTCCCAGATTCAAAGGAATTAAAGGAGAAGTTGTAGTTGAGATGGAAGGGAATTAACACCGAGTGGCTAATCCGCTTCAAAACCAAAATGTGGAAACAGGAGCCAAGAAAAGGCCAAGGCATATGGGCTATTACATGGATCCACGGGCAGCGGATATCTAATCTCCCATCTTACATCCACCCGTGGAAGCCAATAACTTTGAAATCAATCCGCTCTTATGATGATGATTCAAAACAACGCCTACTGACACGCTTGTACCGTCACACTAGAAATTGTCCAAGTGTAACCACCTACTAATGCGTAGTATAGCGGGCTTAGGTTCAAATGTTAACCCGGGTCCTAGGTTTGATGACTACTCCGTGATATTCTTATTATTTAGTGGTTTAACTGTAGTGAAGTTCCAACTAAACTAGCAAACAAAAGCAGTAAATGTTGTGTTCCAAGTTTGAGAGAGGTCACCCAGATATGGTTCCCCCTAGGCTGCAATTAAGTCAAGCTGCAATTTGACAAGTTCAGATTCAATGATAATTATACTACGGGAGGTTCTTAGACAGTCTGTCGTCTCGACTAAAGGTCTCCAGATCCTCTCAATCTGAGTCTCCAGCGGGCGACTAACCTGCAACAGAGTAAACAAATGGAGGCCCTAACGTACAAAACCTCCTCTACTTGAGTAAATCCAGTACAGAATAATGAATTGGCTCCTCGACTAGAGTCGTCAATTCACTACCTTCAATCAAGGGTGCTCTATCAACCTAGGCAGATATTCTCATTCTAGGTCAAAGCAGGAATAACACGAATTTGATCAGGATTCATGCAATTCACAAAACCATGCCTCAATTGAATATAATCAATATCAAAGAATTCTTACTTGGGTTCATACAACCAGCCCTAACATACAAATCTAGGGTTCTTCATACCTAGGTGAGAGAGAGAGTTTACTCCATAGAGTGAAGGAAACTCTGCTTCAGGTCGGCCGTGTTTTGGTCCAATGGAGCCCGTGTTTTTGACCCTCAGCAGCCATCACGAGCACGCCCTTGGCAGTAAAAATACGGCATGGGGAACACGACCGTGTTTTTGAAAGGGCTGCCCATGTTTTTGCTCCAGCTCCACCGAACGACCTCCAAACGACATGAAACTCGCGTCTAGCCTCTCCTTTGACGCTTGGGACCTGAAATGTGACAAAATAGCACAACCTAGCGTAAACTAGGCCAAAGATGCACGACTAGGAGTCGCAAACGGATAAGAAATGAGGGTGCAAACACGTGCAAATACATCGTTATCACCTACTTTCATGGGCTTGCCAATGAATCACCACAAGAGCATGTCCAAAGGTTCTTGAGCTAGCGGGAAGCTTGAAGATAAATGGCATCCCCGAGAAGGTATTGCGATTGAGGCTCTTCCCCTATTCTTTGGCGGGGAAAGAACTTAATAGCTCAACAACCGTCCGGCTCTATCCATCACCTCTTGGGACTATTTACTCAACAAGTTCATGACCCGATATTTTCCTCCTTCCAAGACTGCACAGTGGAAAGAAGAAGATCACTCACTTTGATCAAGAGGAGGATGAGACATTGAGGGATGCTTAGGAAAGATTCTCTGGGGTGAGGAGAATGTTTCTTAAACAGCGCTGAGTAAACCGATTACCACTAAAATCTGCCTCTCCTCTAAAACACTCTTAATCTGCCAAAATCCACCACTGTATCTCGCTGGGATCCAATCAATCCCCTGGGTTGCTGGAACCTCTCAACTCGAATGCTTCATAACTTAACAACAAAGCATTTACCAGCTCAAATCAGAGAAACTCAACTAATAAAAAAAGATGAACTTATCTGTTAAAGGCAATAGCAAATACAACCATTAAACAAGTGGATTTCGAGAAAAACAAATAGAATGAAAGACACTTAAATGGGGGATTATGAGGCGAACCTTACTGATTACAGCGACCCCCTTTGGAACTACAATCCCCTCGTGTTACCCACACCACCACCCAACAAAGAAGTATTAATTAACTCCCCACTGCTAGCCTCATTGTCTGAAATCTCTGCCGAAAAGAATTAAAATAAACCCTAACTATGAACATACCCCAAATACAAAGGTGAACAAAATCATGGATGAAAGAGAGGAGGAAGAAACCACAAAAGAACCTGTAGATCTGAGCGTTCTTCCACACTATCCCTTGGCCTCTCGAATCCGCCACCAACCACCCAATTGATTTTAGTTCTCATGATCCCTCTCCAAAGCGGCTAAACGTCGAGTTCGCCGAAGGAGAATGGATTTTGAATTTGGCTGACGGAGGGAAGACAGCTCAATCGTCTCATCGCCATCACCTCGACGACAGCGTAGAGCCAACCATCGCCACCAATAACCCCCAGTCCCACTCAATTGTCTCATCTGAGGTGATCGACCATATACACAAAGGCGAGTTGAAGGGTGGATTAACGACCGAGACGAATACACGAAGGGAGGAGCCTGAGGTTGATCTGTCTTCTGATTCTTCTCCCTCTTAACCGAGACGAAGGGTGGATCCACATGGAGGAATCGCTCGTCGTCTTGCGTGATAGTCCAAGGAGAAGAGGCGGTCGGATTCGGCTCGTCATCGTCAAATCGTGAGAGATGAGAAGTGGAAGAAGGGTATACGTGAAGGAATTGGGAGAGAGATGGATTTTGTGTGGTGGGGGCAGAAGGATTGATGGGCCTTTGGTTATTTGGAGAAGAATAAAAGAGAACAGATAGGATCAGAGGAAGATGTTTCCGTCCATTGAGAAGAAGAAGAAGAAGAAGAAGAAAGGTCGTTTTAGAGAGTTGGGGCGACCAAATGGGTAAGGGATTGTGTGAGACTATGAGAGGGGAATGGACTATGTGCCGAGTGGAAGGTGAGGGAGAAAGAAATTTTTTAATGCAATTTTTTTTAAAATGGCAGCATTTTTTATGAGGGAATAAACAGATTCAGTTTTTTGGGTTTTTTATTTTGAATGAAAGAAAAATAAAAGCAAATCCCAAAATAAAAAGGCGGGCTGCAGGGAACTTAAAAATTTTCAATAGTCAAAAGATTTTTTTATAAACAATAGTCAAAAGATTTTAAGGAGAGCGGCAATTTTAGTTTCCTTTCCCACCCACAGATAAAATCACGAGAAGGCATAATATGACAGCACATGCATTTTGTCAAACCCGAAACCACTATATTATGACGAACATGTCTTTTTGTCAGCACGCCATGAGATTATTACTATCTGTTGTGAAAAAATATTTTGTCATTAAACAATTCAGTAAGGCATAATATGACAAAAGCTACTTGGACGATATAATTTGTCACTTTTGTGTCTCTTACATCCCGATATGGGATGCCTATTTTGACAAACTTAATTGTGACACAAAATATTTGTCACATTACTCACTTTAAATGGCGAACTATTCTGACAACAAGAAGTTTGTCACTGTTGAGTCTCTTACATCCCCATTTGGGACACCTATTTTGAGAAATTAATTTTTGACACCAACTATTTGTCATATTACTTTAAATGACAAATTATTATGACAACAATTTGTTTGTCACATTAGGCATACCAAATAGGACATATATTATTTTTGTCATATCACCATACCTATTGTGACAAACCAAAATGACAAAATAAATTTTTTGTCCTAATAGACCGAATTTGTTGTAGTGCTACCAGACCGCATTCCAGGCCCTCTACCACCCAGAGCATGACCGAGCCCTTCCCGGTGGCTACTCTCTACAACATGAAAGCTGGAGCTTCAGGGAGAGCGAGAGATAGAGTACCTCGATGGGCTTCGACCCTTAGAAGTCATGAGGCCAGCAGTTAACCCGGCTCTAGTGGAGCCCGATGTAGAGGCACCACCTCTAGAGCAGCCACCTGTTTGAGCTCTCGGTCGCCGCTGCCGTCCCTCACTCTAGCGCCCTGTACCACCACCAGCAACAGCACCATCAAATGCCGGTCCTTCCACTTCTGCGGTGCCCCTCGTGGAGAGGATGGACAGTATTGAGACCCACGTCGTGGGAGTCAGTTCCCGGCTAGACCGGCATACCGTCCTGCTCGAGTGGATTGCTCGTCGCCAGGGCCTCCTTCCAGATGATGAGCCGGGGCCTTCAACTCATTGAGAGGTAGCCGACGAGTGAGACATGTGGCAGATCCGATTCCTTTCGCCCCAATTCTCCACTTAGAACTCTAAACTCTGTCGTTTTATTTTTCTTTCTTTTATATAGTATGTGTGAACAACTACTATTATCATAATGTTTTGTGTAATAACCTAGCCTCGAGCGAGTATGTGTTGTCTTCTCCTTGAAGCTCAAATCTCCTATCCCAGAAAAATCCCAACTTTCACTTACCAAGCAAAGCAGTAACATCATTCTTCCCCTATCTTGCCCCATTTTATTACCTCTTTTTCTATTTTTTTCCTACTACTTTCATTTTCTTTCTTCTTTTTTTCTTTTTCTTTTTGAGGGGGTACTAGAGATTAAAACACTTGCCACATTACATTTAACAACCAATGCTCTCTTTTAAGAACTTACTCCAACACTACTCTTTTCTCTTTCATTCCTAGCAAGAACCACACACAATCCTCCTATGTAAATGAATTTGACACTAATTGAGAAGGCTTCACCCAAGTGTTGCTCCCCCTAGCTAGCAATTATGACATGTTGGATCGAATGGACACATGTGGTAAGGTGGTTGTAAACCGTAGGGAATTGCAACAAGTAGCCAACACACTCTCTCGATCTCTAGATCAAGGAAATTCTATTCAAGCCACTAAAGTAGCTCTCTTGACCTATTGACTAAGGGTTGTCAAAACTTCACCCTCGAATCGGATTTTGGACGGCCAAATTACAACCAACCCTAGGTGCTAATACGAACAAAGAGGCTTCCCCTACATTAACCTAGATAGGAGACAAGATTTGCCTTAGAAAATCCAGCTTTACAAGCCTATTTCAAAGAAAGAGGGTTTTCTTTCTACCTAGATTAGAATGGCAAATAGATTGATAGGCAAACACACAACACAATCTTTCATGAAAGTACCTCCAAATTCACATTAAAACACATCCACACACAAATCATTCAATCCATACAAACATTCACATAATTGTAGCTAGGGTTTACAAACACCCAAGTGAAATAAGGGACTACTCCATGCTAGGAGAAGGGAAAACATAAGAGAGAAGAAGGAAAACCATCATGTAGATGTGAGCAATGCTCCTTGTGTTGAAGAGATCCTCCTTTGGGGAAGGAATTCCCAAATCGTTGCCTTAAGATGAAACCCTAGCTTCTTCTCATCTTTGGTTCGTCACTTTCTCACTCTAAAAATCTGAAGAAGAAGAAGAAGAAGTTTCCCACACTTGGTCTCTGTCTCCCCTTTTCTCCTTCAGCTCAAACCCCCTTTTATACATAGGTCGAGCTCACATCAGAGTCCCCGTTCACAGCCGTGAACTCAAGGCGTGGACCATGATCCCAGGCCAAAATGTGTCGTCTCATAAATCCAGTTCACGATCTGCGGCTTGACTTGAGTCCAGTGAAAGCAAAAATGTCCATGGACGCCTTGATGTTCACGGCTTGCGGCTCTAGTTCACGGTCGCCATGACCGTGAACTAATGGCTTTCACCATAATCTGCAACTGCCTCAATCCTTTGACCCGATTTTTCGCCTTTTCGTCCAACTTTCGACTTTGAGTTTGGTTTCACCTGCTATAGACTAAAATGCACAAAATCGAGACAAAACCCAGCGTAAAACCAAACCTCCCGGAGTAAAAATGCCTCAAACGACTAAGGAAACCGGGGGGTAAAAAGTGTACGATTGAGCCCGAATCAGTCATGTTGCGTCTGCATCCATATCCCCAATCCACTATTTTCAGGCGAGCCTCCCAGAAGTTGGCGGCATGATATTTCGGACCATATTGTGTTCTTAAGCGCATTGGAGCGGTCGCTTATCGGCTTGTGCTTCCTCCTATGGAGAAAATTCACCTTGTTTTCCATGTTTATCTGCTCAAGAAGTACGTGGGCGAGGCGGAAGCACAACAGGTGTCGAAACCGCCAGTTGCGGACGATGGTAGCCTCGAGTCGACTCCACTGCAGGTTCTTGACCATCGTTGGTCTAGGCGAGCTGGCCGGGTTGTGGAGGAATGTTTGGTACTATGGCAACACCTTCCGATGGAGGAGGCTACATGGGAGGAGGTGCTCGAGATTCGAGATCATTTCCCGACCTTCGACCTTGAGGGCAAGATCAAGCTTGGTGGGAGGGGGGGGGGGGGGGGGGGGGGGGGTCAATGATGCGTACATGGCAGTTCCGCGCCGTTCCTCTTGACAGCCCAAGCCCAACCCAAAGTACCGTGAGTTATCTGGATGGCCGCGTTCGACCGTTTCGATTCATTATCGTTTTCCTTTCTGTTTAGTTTGTTGTTTGTTTCTTTCTTTACGTCGGTTTTAAGGACTACTATATATTTGATTGTTATGGAATATGTTTAGTTTGTTGTTTGTTTCTTTCATTACGTCGGTTTTAAGGACTACTATATATTTGATTGTTATGGAATAAGAGAAGTAGAAGAAACCCCCTAAAACCTAGTTTCATGCGTAAAAGAACATATTTCACCAAGTAGTGGTAATTTCTCCCTTTTTAGATTCCCTTTCAAAAATTCTTGCTTGGATTCAGTTTTCAGATATGATATGATATAATACGGTACAATGTACATCTTCTGATTTGGCACAGTGCTGGCCTGCCAAAGGCAAAAGGGAACAGAGAGCGCCTGCAGGCCGCAGGCGGCAAGAATAGATGAGACGAGAGAGATGCCAACCAGGAACTCTCCTCTCCTCTCCTCTCCTCTCTTGTCATATTCTAGATTCCGTCCAACCTAAAATCCAAAGCTACCTATAACACTGCTAGTGACGACTCTTTCACCTGACCGGTTCATGTTACAGACCTTCCAAACCCCATACATCTCTTCAAAACCATTATTACTACAAGGCAAACAAATTCGCATCATTAGTTCATTACTATCTATGTCAACAAGAATGAACATGTCTGGGGCTTGTTTCTGTATCCTCCAACTTTTGGGTTGAGACAGAGAAATCAACTTCACATACAGATACCATATTTGATGTTCCCTTTCCTAACACTCTTCTTCTTCACCTCTCAAACAGACACAACCACCTCGCATAAAAAGCAGCTCCTCCTCCCAACTCTTACCCTACCAACAGACACAAAACATAAACGATTATCCCTGCGCCAAAATAAAAAAACATGGACACATCAACAAACTCTGTTGCCAAAGCCACCACGGTGGGTCAATCTGTATTCAAGTGTTGTAGAATTGTAGTTATGTATACAAAATGTTATTCCGAATAACCACCTAAGTCCTCCATCTCTCTTTCCGAACACCCACCCACTCATCACCACCACTAGTGCTCTCTCCCCTACTACTCCTCCAAAGAGACGCCACGCCACAAATATTCAAACTAAAAAAAAAAGAAAAATCTTCCAACTACCCTTCCTACACTAACTTAAACCAGCTGGCCACTGCTGGCTGGCTCCTCCTTTATACACAAGCTCATCCGCTTTTCTTGTACAAACAAACCTCAGAAAGAATTCACCTTCCTAGTTTCCTTTTACTCCAACACTGCCCAGCTTCCATTAGTTCGTCCACCAATCCAACAAACCTGTCACAGAATAGATTCTATCAAATTACCACACCATACCATCTCAAAAGCAATCAATCCACCACCAGAACAGACTGACCCAGTTATCATACCGCATCTTTTCATCCATTCTTGTGCAAGGCACCTCCAGAATCCTCTACCCCGCCCCGCCTCGAACCTGTAATGCCAGAATCTCATCCACAATGGTTCTGATCACGCTATGGATATAGTACTATGAGTGAGCATCCTCCGAATCACTCCCAGAAGAGCTCCCTGAGTCGGAATCTGCATATCCAAGTTACAGTTAGTATTTTCAGCAGCACAAGGTGGGCATCACAAAACCCACTACTTTCATTCCCAATCATAGGAGTTGGGTTATACCACTGGAGGAGGAAGAATCATCGCTGGAACTACTGGAGCTGCTAGAACTACTACTGGCATGGCCATTGTCCTTCCCTATCTCCACAGGCGGAAAGCTGCTCATTGGCATTTCATCACCTATGTCCACGTCTTCTTCGCCAGCATCACCTTTCTTTGGCTTCTTTGCCTCATATTCAATGCCCATTCTCTCATTGACGGGCACATCCTAACATACAATAAAACCCAAAACCAAAGTCGCCAATTAGACCATGCACCACAAAGAAAAATAATTGGAATAAAAACAACCCAGTTGGCATTATAACTGATAATGAATAAGTCAATGTACCTTGTTGCCTTCACTAGTAGCAGGAGCCCCAATATTGCCACCCATTAATGCTTGACGCCTAATCTTGCTCGCCAATTTCTTGTAATTGGTGACAAATCGATCAAGCTCCCATAGAGTTTCTGTATCAACAGCTTCAATATCCAGCTCAATCTCATCTCCATCTTGCCTCAAATGGCCATTCCTCTTCTTAATAATTTGAACAACCTGCTCCATCTTCTCCGGAGGCAAATTCTGCAACCCTACACCCAATTTATGCTTCTCTTCTAGGTTCATCTCCCTCTTATTAGGATCCTTTGCCTTGGGCTTCGGAAGCTTAACAGGCTTCACTGGTGGAACCCTTCTTGGTGATGGGGTCCTCACAGGCAATTGTGAAGTCGAGTGAGGGTTAACGTTTTGGCTCGATCCAGTAGCAGGAGGAGCCACTGAGTTACCAGTTTGCTCGGATTTAGCCATCACTTGCATAACATCCCTTGGGTCTTTGGATGCGCTTTCAGTCTCTACCAATCCCCGGTGGTTGTGATCCCAAGAGCTCGCTTGTACTTCTAGCACGTGCTCTTCATCTTTCTGGATCTCGTCAACAAGCGAATCCTTGATGGGCCGGTACGAGTCTTCAAATTTGGCAAGTAACTCATCAGCAAAAACATATACATCGTGACCCTTAGGATTGTACCTCATCGCGTTGTTGAAGGTCAGTCTCACATCGGCAGCAAAATCCTGCGGCGAATCATAGAGGTTTTTCGCCAATTTCTTTTTCACCGTACCCAAATCCATGGGCACTTTGATTATGTCGTGGTAATCATGAAGCTGCATTCCAACGACGTCCACAGGAGCATTGAATATGTGCCCGAACTTGTGTTTCATCAATTTGGACAGGATCTGGACGCACTTCTTCATCAACTGCGAGTTATCTGGGTGTTGCGCTCTCTTGAAATCTTGGGCCCCAAAAGTCGAATCCGTAACAGGGAAAGGCCTCTTGCTTCCCAGTATCTTCTTGTTACTGTTTGGGCCACCAATTAGTTTCTTGTTGTGAAAATTTGAGCTGGATCTGATCTGAAAATCAGGCGGCAAGTCGATGCGGCTCTTCAATTGACGAATCTGCTCCAGCTCAGCCACAAATCGATCCTTCAACTCCACCAGCTCCTTTCTCGAATAAGAAGAGATGTTGAAAGTAACGAAGCCTGCTGTGTTTAAATCATTAGGTCTCCGATTTATCGAAGACGCGTCATCAGACGCAGCGGACTGCGTGAAGGCTGGAGATTCGTCGAGATCCGCCAAGGGTAACGCCTGAAGGTGCCGCTTCTTTGAGAATTTAGGGTTTGGGTTAGAGTTAGAGAAAGGATATTTGCCCATTAACTTCGCAACGCCGGCCGGCTGTGGCTGCATCCAGTTCGGTTCGCTCCTATTAGCTAGCACAGCTGACGCCATGATTCCGGTAGAATCCCGGGAGAGCCCCGGCGGCAGAGGTTTCCCAATTCAGGCGACCAAGAACACATGAATTACAGATAGCGTGAACGCCACGCGCCTCCTAGGTCTGAAAGATGTCGGGTCGGGGGAACAATCCAAGGGAGGACGGAACCACCGACCGAGAGAGTAGGAAAAAGCCGGACCGCCGTTGTTTAGGGTTTCGGGGCGGGAGGGGGAAACAGGGAGAAGATTGGGGATTGGGAATTTTCCCCTGATTAGAGCGATTATGATAGGAAGAGCAGCCTCGTTCTTAAAGGCAAAGAGATATGCCCGGAAAGACTATGGGCAGGATCTGAACCGTAGGCTCAAATTTCCAACTCCTGATGTCTGCCCGTGAATAACACCACCGTGACCATACAGGGACGGCGTGGATCAGAGGTTTGAAACACGTGGTGGGACTAGGGACCGTTAGATGGGAGAGTAAGAAGCTATCTCTTATTTTGAATTTTTGTAGTGATCTTTTTTAAGATTTTTTTTTTAGTTAAATTCAACGAAAAAATAATGTTTTAGTTAAATGGTGTTCTTGTTTTAATTTTTTTCAATGTTGAGAGAATCAAATTGAAGTATGAATTTTTTTTTTTTTGACAAAAGATAATCTTATATTGATTAGAAAAGAGATAATTACACCCTGGACCGGAGTCAGGTCTGAAAATCAAAGAACCGACTTGCAGACGGGTACAATAGAAGGGCCTTTCGAGCCACCAAGTGGGCTACCCTATTACTACGCTGACCTACAAACCGAACACTAAACCTTTGCTAGTTAGATAAGCAATGCAGAACTTCCTCAAGAAGAGCTCCAATCCGGCTATCACGGGCCTCAGCCCCTGACGAGCTTTTCAACTATCACCAGAGCATCCCCTTCAAAACGTACCTCCATCAACCCTGCATCGGAGCACCAACAGATTGCCTCCCAGAGTGTGAGCATTTCCACAACCAAAGGATCATCAATGACACCAAACTGGACACCTCTCGCCCCAATCACCAATCCATCAGACGATAGGATAACCATCCCACCTGCCGAATGCGAGCCACGCCTGGCAGCGCCATCCCACTTACAAATGAACGACCCCGGAGTAGTGGCCGCACCCGGCGGCAGGCTAGACCTCGTAGGGGTTCGAGGAACTGAATTATCACCAGGCAGGTTTACCCACTCCTGAACTTGCTGATTAAATTGACGCATAAGAGCTGGGATCCCAAATTGTTTGCCCTAAAAAACAACCCAATTACGAGATCGCCAGATCCGCCAAAGGACAGCAACAACTGCCATCAGCAGGTGGGGGTGCTGAATACACATCAACAACCTTTTAAGGAACAAAGGAAATGTCTGCCTAGGAAGGGCTTTCCCAAGGTACTCCAACCCCGCATAATCCCACATAGCCCTGGCCACTGGACACTCAAGGAACATATGCTCCATTGTCTCCGACCCGGCCCAACAAACCGGGCACCGAGGATGGACAATAACACCCTTTTCAATCAGGGCTTCTGTCGTCGGGAGGATCCGATTGAGAAGTTGCCAAAGAAAAATGCGCAACTTTGGGGGAATAGGGGCATTCCAAACCTTAATCCAACTCGATCCATCCATCCAACTGGCCGACGACCTCCACTGGCCTTCTTTTTTATCCAGAAGAACAGCCAAGTGATAGGCTGATTTCACCGTGAAAACCCCATCAGTCGTCATATGCCAGATCAGTCGGTCCTCAACATTCCCGCGAGGAAGCGGGATCTCCTTAATCGCTCGACAGGTAGGAGGATCAAACCATTGATCTAGCCTTCCCTCACACAACCGCCCCTCACCTGAGACAATTACCTCAGCCACCACCGGGTTTCCCCCACTAGGCATAACGCACGGATTAGAAACTGGCTTGTCCGGGTGCAAACGAGGGACCCAATTACTCTCCAACAGCGGGGCGGCTAGCCCATTTCCAATTTGCCACCGAAGGCCTTTCAATAACAACTGACGACCAAAAAGAATGCTTTGCCATCCCCAAGACGGGCGGGAGCGAGCAGTGGCTTGTAAGAAGTCCCCCCTGGGGAAATATTTACCCTTATACACCTGAGCCATCAGGGAGGAGGGATCATTGAGGATCCGCCATCCAATTTTAGCCAGAAGCGCTTGATTGAAATGCTCAAATCGGCGAAAACCCATCCCCCCATCATGCTTACTTCTGCACATATTACGCCAGGACATCCAACGGATTTTAGACTCTCCGTTTGTCACTCCCCACCAAAATCTGGCCACATGTCTATCTAGTAAGCGGCACAGCGAGAGAGGAAGACGAAAACAGGACATAACATGTAAATGGAGAGCTAAGGCCACTGATTTGAGCAAGGTCTCTTTCGCATCCCAAGATAAAGTACGTTGCTTTCATCCCTGCAGGCGCGCCAGTAATTTTTCCTCCAGATATCTGAATGTATCCATTTTCGATTGGGCGATCGGGGTAGGCAATCCCAGGTACTTATCATGGACCCCCACCGCCCCTACCCCAAGAATCTGGGCGAGGAACTCCTGATCCGGAAGGGTAATATTACGGCTAAAACAAACTGCTGATTTATCCAAATTGACTCGCTAGCCACTAAGCTCCTCATACTCATTAAGCACCAAAATCAGGTTTTCGCATTCTTGGAGAGATCCCCGTAGGAACAGGTACGAATCATCAGCGAAAAATAGATGCGAGATCCGAGGGGCCACCTTAACTCCTTCCAATCTCTTTTCCGAGATAGCTTTGCGGAGCAGGGCTGCAAACCCTTCCCTGCACAGTACAAAAAGGAGAGGAGATAACGGGTCTCCCTGCAGGAGCCCCCTCGAGGCTGTGAAGAACCCCTTAGGAGAGCCATTCATCAAAACAGAGAAAGAACTCGAACGGAGACATTCATGAATCCATCCTTGCCACGTAGCATTGAAATCTAACTTGTCCAGAACCGCCAGGAGAAAGGGCCATTCGACTCTATCATAGGCCTTTTCCATGTCAATCTTAAGAGCCATGTACCCTTTCTTTCCTCGCGTTTTGATTTTCAAGTAGTGCATCAGTTCGTGTCCAAGGTGGACATTTTCCACAATCTGCGATCACGGATGAAAGCATTTTGCCCTGCCGACACAATTCTGGGTAACCATCCAGCCAGGCGCTCAGCCATAATCTTGGTAATGATCTTGTACACAAACTGACAGAGGCTGATGGGGCGAAGCTGCTTCATATTTTTCAAATTGTCAACCTTAGGGATCAAAGTCAACCAGGTATGATTGAAAATGTGCAGCATTCTACCAGTAGAGAAGAATGAGCACACAGCAGCTATGACCGACTCGCCAACAATGTTCCAGAATGATTTAAAGAACTTCCCAGTGAAGCCATCAGACCCTGGCGCTTGTTTCGATCCCATTGAGAAGACCGTTCTTCTTACTTCTTCTGGAAGGACCACAGCCGTGAGACTAGCATTCATCTCCTCCGTGACCCGCCGGTCGATTGGCAAAGTGGCCACTCGGTCCCTCATGTTAGGCACCTGACATTCTGAGGCGAAGAGATTTTGGTAAAAGGTTGAAGCAATATCTGCTTTATCTCCCTCCTCAGTGATCCACTCCCCCGCATCATTTCGAAGGCCCGCTACAAAATTATGCTTTCGACGAGCCCTTGTAACCGTGTGAAAGTAAGCCGAGTTCTTATCCCCTTTCTTCAAACCAGTGGACCCTCGACTTCTGCTGCCAGTAAACTTCCTCCGCTTCCCATTGCCTATTCAGCTCAGATTCCAGCAATTTTACCGTCTCACAGTCAATGGGGAGGATCAACTTGACACGGTTTATTTCCGCCTGGATTGTCTTAATATTACGGAGGGAATTAGTAGTACCCGCCCTGCTCCAATCATAGAGCAAGTGACGGAGTTTTTTGAGCCTCTCCCACAGTTGATACATAGGGGTCCCTTGTATCTCCTCCTGCCAGACATAGGAGACCATTGCCTTCACTTCAGGATTATCCGCCCAACGGGCATCAAATCGGAAGAGAGGTCGACTATGGCGAACGTATGGTTTATCGGAGAGGAGCAGGGCTCGGTGGTCAGAACCTTGATCAGTAAAATGTTAAACGAGGGTATCAGGGAAACGGTCAACCCAATTCTGGGAACACAAGGCTCTATCGAGGCGCTCTCTAATACAAGCCGCCCCCATGTGTTTATTCGTCCAGGTAAACAAGTCACCTTGATACCCGGGATCATGAAGGCCCAGATCATGGATGAAATCGCGAAGGCCGATGGCATGGGAAGCATTCCAGGGATTACCCCCATCTTTTTCGCTTGCTTGGAGCGTCACATTAAAGTCTCCTATGATCGCAAATGGCAGAGTGAAACTCTCACAAATCTCTCGTAACTGAGCCAATTGATGAACTCTTACAGCTTCAACACAGCTAATATAGACGAACACCACAACATAAGAATGATCCACTTCATTGATTTGAGTACAAATACAAAAGTTGGAATGAAAAAAAACCGAAGCATTAACTTCGGGGGCCCAAGCTAGCACAAGACCACTAGCCGAATCAACAGCATCAACAAAAAAACATTGAAAATTATCAAAACCTAAACCCCGCATACGACGGGAAACGACACTCCGGCGCGCTTTTGTTTTCGAAAAGAAAACAAGGTCCGGTTTATTAGAACAAACTAAACCGACAGCAGTTTGAAATGTGAGGGACGGCCCAATTCCTCTCACATTCCACGCGAGAAGCTTCATTTATCGGGTTGGGGCCACTTTTGGCTGGCTACCTCCACCTGATTAGCATCATCCTCCACGAACTGTTTCTTAGGGCTGGGCTCCACTCCCAGCTCCCCTTCAACCTCGCCCAGCGGGCGCTTGCGACTGTCAATATCTGGGTCAGCAAGATTGGACCCGTATTCATTGAATTGACCCCCGTCATGGCCATCACCATCATCCTCCCAGGCCTTCATCCCTTGAACCAGTTCAGGGTCCATGCCTTTGCTCCTTATAGTATCATCCTCTGGCTTCCTGTGTAGCCCGGATTCAAAAGCAGCCACAACTTGCTGGACCCGGCCCTTCATTCCCCGAATAGTCTGCGGGGTCTTTTCCTTAGGGGCCCGAGAGGTAATCATAAACTGGGATACATCCTCATCCGAAGAGGGATCCATTAAATCGTCACCAGCTCCCTCACTGTGCGTCCCATGGCCATCGTCCGGTCCCACTGGAGGAAGATTCACGGCCTTAATGAGGCGTCGCCTAAAATTCTTTTTCACCACCTCCCCTTGCTGATCTGCTAGGCTGGGATCCTGCACAGGCCCTTCTCCTTCAGCATCAAAGTCCGCCAAAACAAGCCGACGCCTTGGCTTGGGAGCTGGGCTCGACTGCACCCAGATGGACTGGGCTTCCTGTCGCAGGTCTCTCTTCCTGGGCCGGCCCGCTACCATTCCCTTCGCTTTGGCCGCAGAGGAGACGGGCTGAGGCTTAAAACGGCCTCCCCGGTCCCGTTTCGGGCCTGCTTCTCCTCCCTGCTCGGCCGGCCGTGGCCCAACTCGGCCTTTCAGCGGAGATTGATGACTGGGTTGGCGGACAGGTCGGGCCCGCGGCGAGCGCCTCACATGGAATCCGCGTGGGCTTCTATGCCTGTGGCTTTGGGCCTGCCGACCTCCCCCATTTTTTGGGCTGGTCCTTTCCTGCGGATCAGAATGGAGGGCCTCAATTCCCAACTGATCCACCTGCGCCCTAGACTGCTTCTGCATCTGGTGATCAGCACCTCCTCCCAGCGCCGTGTTAACCCAAACGGACTTCGATTTACCACGGAATTGCTGAGTTTCATCCTCCGACTCATACACGCGAACACCCAATTTCTTGGTGGACATGTGAGGGCCAAATTTCTCCTGGCCAGCCGGAGGATCAAAGGTACATTCGTTGATGAAATGTTCTACTCGGCCACACTTGAAGCAGAAAGATGGTAGGTACTCGTACTTCATAGAAACCCAGAAGCGCACATTATCATCAATGGCCGCCAAAATTTGCGATCGCAGCGGCTTGGTGAGATCAAGCACTGCTCTCACCTTCATGAATCGCTCCCTAGTTTCATGGCTAGCAAAAATCCCCGCTTCAAGCACCTGGCCCAGCTTGTTTTCGGCCATTTTTCTCCCGAACTGTTGCGTGCAGCACTCCTCTCTGACATTCCACATCTGCACACGCAGAGGCACCATGGCCAGGTCGGTAAAGACATTTCTCGAGATGTTCAGTGTCCATGGCCTCAAGTGCAGAATCGAGTCATTAACCACCCATGGTGTTCGTTGAAGAACCCATGTCTTAGTCTCTTCGGACGGAAGAGAAAAATCAAGTAATCCTTGTTTGGTCAGCACCACCCTCAAGGTTCCTTTCACTTTCCAATGTTTGATAACAGCATCCCGAATCTCCATGGTGGAAATCCGTTTGTTGGTGAAGAGACGGCCCAGCAGCGAGTGCGTCAAGCAATATTTGGACGATTGAACCTCATCCATTGAGAATTCCACAACTTGATCAGAAGAAGCATGAGCCATCTTGCACTCCTGAGGACCTAGGATAGCAGGCACATTAGTACGAGCCGGTTCACCTTAATTGGCGCCGGACTCACTGGACGAAATAAATCCATGCACGTAGGTTGCATGGTTGCCGCCGCCAAGGTCTTAGAGAATGCCAAGCCATCAAACTTAAGCAAAAAAAGAGAGGAAGGGTGGGAGCAAATACCTTGAGAGGGACTCGCTCGGGCAGGAATCGTTCTTCTCGGGGGCTTAATGCTATGCACTTTAATGAGAAGCCCTCATTGGAAGGGGTTTTTAAAGGCCTTAGACCAGGCACTTCCCGAGTGTCCCACTCCGACTTGAATTAGGTTTTTTAGATTAAATTCTGATTTGGGACTCTTATCACGCGTAACCAACCGATCAGGAAGGATACAAGGAGGCCCGAGAATAACGGGATTGGTATCTGAGGGAAATACGTTCCCAACAGACCCACGGCAGAAAACCACCGGCGGACGCTGCTGCCGATCACCGGTCGAGGGATCTCGACCCGGAACAGAGATCCGAACCTGGCGTTTCTCAGCCGTAACCATGCTCGACCCATCGCGAGTCCACGGCAGCAGCGTACCGGCCTCTATCTCCATATTTCTGTAATCAATCTCGCACAAATTAGGGAGAGAGAATCGCCATCCACTACCTTTCATCCGGCGTCTCCGTTTAACCATCACTTCGATATAATCCTTAATTGTTTCTTGAGTAGCATCTAGGCTTCGTTTGCCATTCCTTACTTTGGGACGGCATTGAAAACTGGCACCAGGGCCAAATTGCCGGACACGGGCACGACTTCGAGCCCAATTCCGGCATGGGGGAGGTAAATGATCCATCTTCCCCGAATGCAATTTATTCTGCGGCGGACAATCCGCCAATTTTGAGCGATTCTCAGCCCGTTCCTCGCGCCATCGATTTTGATTCCGCACACAGAACATGAGGACCGCACAAAATACGTCAACCAACCTTTCTCCGACGAGGTTAGAGACTCGAAGGGAGGGGGAAAGAACTCCTTCACCCACCCCCTGTTTTTTACAAGCATGCTGGCTCGACGGAGGCCGAACGGCTTTACCATCACCTCCACTGAATTGACGAGGATCCTTATTTATGGATCCCCAATCAAATCTCCGCCGATGAATCCACAAGCAAGAAGTGACCACTAGCAGTATCAGGGCGAACACCAAGTCCCCGATTTCTCTCCAGCGATAGAGGAGAGAGGGGAGAGCGCCGAGCATTTTTTTTTTCCGATGCTTTCTTGGTTGATTTTTTTTTAGTGTGAATCAGTGCAATGAGTGGTTCGTTATAGTAAACATGCATAAATTAGTTAACAAATTGATATCGCGAAACATAAGTTATTCATATGATAATGACATAATATAAATATAATAATGCAATCTCGAAATTTTGAAAGGAATAACATTTTTTTTATTGAAAAAGTAACCAAACAAAAATTTTAAATAGATTAGTATAAATTTTAATTTAATAAATTAGCATAAATGTATTTAAAAAATGCTAATTTATTTTTATAAATTAATATAGAGTTAATAACTTTTATTTTAAAAGATTCATAATATGTTTTTTTATAGGAATCTGTGGTGCTTTCATTCAATACCAACCCATAAAATTACTAAGGTCTCTGCTGTCTCATTAAAGTATATTTTACAATTTGGTCCACTAAATTGGATTTTTCCAGAAATAGTACCTTTTAAAAAAATTACAAATATAGCACCCACCCGAAAATATTTACAAAAATAGCACCCTTTTTTTATGGACCGCACCTGGAGGGTGCGTTTTATATATAAACCGCACCTCTAAGGTGCGGTTTTGGCCTGACCTCCAAAACAAAACCGCATCCCCAAGGTGCGGTTTTGCCACACAAACTGCACCCCTCCCCCTAGTGCAGTTTGTGTGTCAATTATTTTTCGACATATAGCCATGCAGAATAACAGACGTGATGAAATTAACCCAACCGGGCATAGCGTCACGATCCTCGGGGGGATGATCACTCGCGCACACTGGTTTGCCGTCGATGGGCAGATGGGTTAGGATGGCGACATCCTTTAGCGTGATGGTGGCCTCTCCTTCTCTAAAGTTGAAACAATGGGTCTCCTTCCTCCATCTCTCAGCTAATGCGGTGATGAGTTGACGATCGACTTTGATGCCGTTAAAATGCCTAATCGGGTCCAACCGTGCCCTTTTAAGAGAGGGCAAGATAGATGGGTGTAATGGGAGCACATTGGTCGTACCCCTGTAACGGAGTATTGTTTGTGCCTCCTAGCGAAAAATTACACGTTAATTATTATATATTAGTAAGGGTTTTTTCTTATAACTAAATTAATTAAATTAAATTAATTAAATTAAATTATTTAAATTCAAAATTATCATAAAAATATATTTCATATAATTAACATAATAACATTCTAAATTAACAATAATTTAAAGAGATACATACATATTATCATAAAATAAACATCCTAAATTAATTAACATAATAATATTCTAAATGAATAATAATTTAAAGAGATACATACATATTATCGTAAAACAAACATACTAAATTAATTAACATAAATAACATTGTAAATGAATAATAATTTAAAGAGAAACATACATATTCAAATGTTTGAAATTAATAAAATTCATTTTGTACACATAAAAATAAATCGTATTGGTTGTTTGTTAAATAATTTAATCGTATTGGTTGTATTAAATAATTTAATCGAATACAGAGCAACACTCGTTAGACTCTTAGAAGAGATATACATCTTCTTAGAAATGCAGTCATTTTGACAGAAAAAAGGGTGGGGGGGGGGGGGAGGGAGGGATCCGAGGATCTCTCAATACCCGATTTTCCCAGGGAATGAGAGGATATGATAATCGCTTAAAACCCCATTTCCTTAGACGTGCATCTCTTTATAAAGAGTCGAAGTAAGTGGCGCTATGTATTCGATTAAATTATTGAAACAACCAACACGATTAAAAATTCAACATAAATTTATTTTATATTCCACTAAATACATTAGCAAAATAAAGGAAAGACAAATGATGAAGAATTGTATGTACCGGGTGATCGTTCCAAACATCCCTTGACCGATGGTTGGATTGGTCGTACAAGTCAGTTGGATCCAACGGTCCTTGCTCGAGATAATACCGTTGGTTGTATATATCCACGTCGTCACCAACCTACGAGAAAATAACAACGAGGTTAGTACATAGATTAATTAAAAAGCTTATAACAACAACAAAAATTAAACCAGAATAATGAGTACGTACCGCTAGAAATTCATCAACATAAACTCCCTATCCTTGCAACCAATCGCTCATTTTTTCGAGAAATTCGGACATAGATTCGGCTAGGCTCGGCGGGTTTTGAGAAAAAACCAAAATTCGGACAGAGATTCGGCTCGGCGGGATTTGAGGAAAAAACCAAAGAAATGTTTTTTGATGGCAGATCAGACTTGGCGAGTGGAGAATGGTTGTGGTGTGAAAAAATGAGAGGGGGGATGGGGTATTTATACCCATCAGACCGCACCCTCCAGGGGCGGTCTGGTAATTTTGCCCCATTCGAAACTGCTCCTTGCCGAGGCCGTTTACGCTCCCTGATGCTTGACCGCACCTCGACGCGATGCTCTTCGATCCGTGGCAAGGATCGCTGACCTGGCAAACGGTCCGCCATTGGATCGCTTCTTCATCCTGCGGTCCGCAAGGCCGCTGTCCACCAAACACTGACCGCACCTCCAATGTGCGGTTTTCAGTCTGAGGTGGACTAAAACGCACCTGGAGGGTGCGGTTTATTTATAAAACGCACTTTGGAGGTGCGGTTTGATAAAAATGGTGCTATTTTGTAAATGTTGTGGGATGGGTGCTATTTTTGTAATTTTTTTTTTCTTAATAGATGCTGTTATTGGAAAAATTCCCCACTAAATTCCTAGGGACAAAAGGCCATTGTCTAATTCGTCACTCTCTCCTTCTCCTTTCATCCCAACCACCAAACTCCTCGCCTCTTTACAGAGACTTCCCACCTCCGACCAGTCACCTCCCCTTCCCTATAGCTTCTCTATTAGCGTTTTGAAATCACTCTCCACTACCATCGGCACCAATCCTTTCCTGATCGCAGCCTTAACGCCTTCTAGAACTCCCCCAAACTTCTGTCTCCTCTGACTGGAAAATCCCCTGATCCTTTTCACAAACCCCATACAAAACTTCCTATTCCAGTCCCGCACCCCCCCCCCCCAAGTCCAATTCCCTCTCCTGAAAAAATCTCAGCATCTATGTTGAGTTTAAAAACTCCTACAGGCAGACACATACATCCTACCTGATCATTAAAAGCTTCATGCATCTCCCCCTTTTTCATCTCTTGTACCGCTAAGTAATCTTGCATCCAACACAAAGCTCTCTAGATTATTTCCTCTTCATCCATTTTCTAATTATTAAAGTTATGAATATCCCGTTCTTTCCACATGAACCATAGAATTGCTGCAAATCTGACGATTTTCTCCTCTTCGAAGGATTCGGACACCACTCTTAACCACTCATCAACCGGCAATATGAAATTCTTTAATCAGGGTATATTGTAAGGAAATCCGCAGGTTTCTCTGTGGCTCAAGGCCTGGTATTTATATGAACTTCCATCTCCTTCTTTAAGAAGTGAAGGAGAGTTTTAACCCAGCCACAGCTGTACAACGGTAACAAACTGAAATATAAACTAACAACGAATCAAAACTAGACACGTATAGCTATATAATAAAAATGGAAACGGCTAACAACACTAAATGGAATGACACCGTTTCTTCGCAGCTCCTCAGTTGCTTCCGAGTGTGAACGACGTCATGCGAAGAGAACCTTAGTGCTGCTTCATCGATGTGGTACTGCTCCTCAGGTTAGAATGCATTAAGCAACTTCAATACCCTCCCTCAACCTGATGCATACAAGTTTTGTATGCTCAGCTTGGAAAGCAAAAACTGCAATCTGAACCTGCTGAGTCCCTTGGTGAAAAGATCTGCAATTTGATTTTCAGTATCCAAGTGACTCAATCCAATAAGCTTCGACTGGAGGAACCGTCGAACCACATGACAGTCGATCTCAATATGTTTGGTTCTCTCATGGAAAATCGGGTTTTAAGCTATATATATTGCAGATCGACTGTCACATAAAAGGTTCACAGGGTTTTGATGTTCAATGCCAAGTTCCTGTAACAACCTTTTCACCCAAACCACTTCACATGTCAACTGAGCTAGAGCCTTGTACTCAGCTTCAGACGATGATCTAGACATTGTCCCTTGTTTCTTTGATTTCCAGATAATCAGTGAGGGACCAAGGGTGATACAGTATCCAGTTGTGGACCTCCTTGTATTAGGGCACGAGGCCCAGTCAGAATCACTATACCCTTTAAGGGTAAGATCAGATGATGTAGCATAAAACAATCCCTAACCTGGAGCATTCTTCAAGTACTTAAGGATTCTGTAAGCCAATTGTAGATGAGTAGAAGTTGGAGTTACCTGATATTGGCATAATTGTTGTACTGCAAATGTAATCTCAGGTCTGGTAATTGTCAAGTAATGGAGTCTCCCCACTATTCTTCTGTAAAGTCCAGGATCATCTAGAAGTGGACCATCATCTGCAGATAACCTTGTTTTCATGTCAATTGGAGTAACAACAGGCTTAGAATCAGCAAAGCCTGTGTCTGATAGAAGGTCTGTGCAATATTTCTTCTGACAGATGTGGATTCCTCCCTGGATCTGGCCATTTCTAAACCAAGAAAGTAATGAAGATGACCAAGATCCCTAAGCTTGAACTGATTGCTTAGATGATCCTTTAAAGCTTGCATACTCTGAATATCATCACCTGCAATGATGATATCATCTACATACACTAGGAGTATGGATGAACAGCTGATGAATGATGAAGGAACATGGAATAATCACTATGTGACTATGTATAGCCAAAAGAGATGAGAACAGAAGTAAGTTTAGCAAACCACTGCCTAGAAGCTTGTTTAAGGCCATATAAGGATTTTCTTAGTTTGCAAACATAACCATCTTTGACCATACCAGGTGGAAGCTCCATGTAGACCTCATCTTCTAGATCTCCATTAAGGAAAGCATTAGTGACATCCAATTGATACATGGTCCAATTCTTTGCAGCTGCCACTGCTAGAAGAGTCTTCACTGAATTAAGTTTTGCCACTAGTGAATAGGTATCAAGGAAATCAATACCATATATTTGACTGAATCCT